TATCCATGTACTTAGTTGGGCAGGATCATACCAGCATTGATGAGCTACAGTAAATCCCATATTCACAGATTGCTCAGCTGGCATGTCAGGAGCTTTGGGGGTTTCACGAGGTTCTGATTTCAGGTAGAATTGGATTTTTATTCTTTTTAGCACAAGGTTTTCATTACAAATGCATTTGTAGGTACACTGATAAGCTGGCAGTGATTGTATTGATGTTTGAGTAGGATCCTAATACCTGCATTTTTCTTTCAGCTTGCCAGGAGTAAAGAAGGCTTTGGGAAAATATGGTCCTGCTGATGTTGAGGACACAACAGGTGCAGCCACAGATAGCAAAGATGATGATGATATTGACCTTTTTGGATCGGATGATGAGGAGGTACTTGTCACCATTTTGGTATTATTTTTATTGCTTTTTAGAAATTAACACAGGTATGCAGATTTTCACCTTGACCTGGTTAAAGTTACTTACGTTTCTGACCTTGATAGCAGATCCTACTTGAAATCCTCAACTGTAGTTATCTTTGCAGAATAGGAGAGCTTGGAAGGTAAGAACTGAAAAGGTTGAAAGTAATGTGTCAGAATGGGGTGAACTGTCCGACTCTGACTGGTTGCATGATGAGCAAAACAAAAAATCACCATCTTTCGGCTGACAGTTGTGATGATTTGTTTTTATCTGAGTAGATGCCAGTCAGTTCGGTAGTGCTTTGGAGATGCAGAGGTTTGGTGCTTTCCTGTAACTGCAAATTTCTCTTTCAGGAGAGTGAAGAAGCAAAGAAACTGAGGGAAGAACGTCTGGCCCAGTATGAATCAAAGAAGTCCAAAAGTACGTGTGCTGAGAACTTGCTAATCTTTTACACTTGAGTTAATTTTCATGCATTTGAGCAGGATGGCTAGAAACACTAATTAACTGTAATAACAGTTCAGTTTGACTGGAATGAGACAGGAGTAATGAGCTTCACTTGAATTGCCAATGAGCTCAGCCTTCCCATAGCAAATAGGAATGTTAACATGCTTTTTGTTCTGGTTCAGACACTCCTGCTTGTTCTTTCCAGAGATTGAGCTTTCTATAAATGGAGATAACACAAAGATTTTCTTTAAAAGTTTAGAGAAACTGCTGCACTACACAAGTTACTCCACAGCTACTGGCCTGGAACTGTTCACAACTGTAGCAGTTGCAGTATTCCCTCTGTGGAAAATTAACTGTTACACAGCATTAGGCTCCTTCTCAGATGTTCTGAAAAGGACTTCCTATGTAACAGACACTGTCAGCTACTTAAATCTGTGTGTACATAATGTATCTACATACTGAATGTTGGGATGTACACAGCTGCAGTACTTCAGAAATGTACATTGGTACGAGAAGCCTGTCACAGCAATGTGAGCAGGAAATTGTTCATGAAATTTGATAAGGTGCTCTTATGAAATCAGTTTGCAAGTATATTCATGAGGTTTTGAAAGATTCCTACCTTTTCACGGCAATTTTCTTCCCCCAGAACCAGCTGTTGTTGCCAAGTCATCAATCTTGCTTGATGTGAAACCTTGGGATGATGAGACAGACATGGCCAAACTAGAGGAGTGTGTTCGAAGCATTCAAGCAGATGGCTTGGTCTGGGGATCTTGTAAGTATGGGGAAATTCCAGAGCAGGGAGAGGGAGGGAGAGTGCAGGCCCTTGGGATAGTATATGAGTAGTTGGACTTGTGGTCACTGTTTGCTGATCTCTGAAATGTAGGTAGCTGTAATGTGGGAACTGCAATCCTGCAAGTACTTCAGTGTCTTTATATGGTCAGAAAAGGTGTGTATTAGTGTAGCAGCCTGGTTAAAACCTGATTCAAATACAGGTTTTAAAAGCTGCAGAATTTAAGCTCTGCTATCCTGCATCTCCCTGTACAATTCCTGATGCAGTAAACACCTTTACCCACCCTCATCACTGGCTTGGGGAAGGGGTGGAGGTCCACAGAGAGAAACTTTTTCAGTCAGTTGTAATGGATGCTGGGTTGTTAATTAGATTGTCCATAATATGGACTAAAGGCTGTTTTTACATATTCCTGCAAATTGCTTTGGTCAGTTCTTAGTTTAATTCTTAGTTTAAGGCATTCGTCCAATTAAGGAGTACCAAATGTTTTTTTTTTTATTTTGCAGCCAAGCTAGTACCTGTTGGCTATGGTATCAAAAAGCTTCAGATCCAGTGTGTTGTTGAAGATGATAAAGTTGGAACAGATATGCTGGAAGAAAGAATAACAGCTTTTGAAGATTATGTACAATCAATGGATGTAGCTGCTTTCAATAAGATTTAAGTCTTGATATATCTAGAATAAATGTTGTTGCAAAAAATGTGCCGTGTCTGTGCTTGTTTCAGAATCTTAAAGTAATCCAGCTCACAAATGGAAGGTTTTCTTAATGGGTAAAGTAGAAGCTGAAACCAAATTTCAAGGTTGTTCTCATGCCCTCACTGTAGTACCCAGGAGCATGAGCAGAGCATCACTTCAGAGTTAACCGTACCATGGCTTTAAAATACTGAAATGCTCTTTCCTCCATCTTTGGAGGGAATTGCTTCTTTGGAAATGTCTGGGATTCCTCTGGAAGGAGGGATGAACGAAGGGAAAGAAGCAGAGCTCAGTCAAAGTGCAGTGTTTTAGTGAGTGAACATTATGAATTCCCTTTGTGTAGTTAGGGTGGTGACTAACCAAATATACCATGGCCTTTGTTACTAGCTAAAACTAGTGAGTGAGAGGAAGCTCAAGTGACTTGCAGTGCTCTAGAGATAAGGCCTGATCCTACCCTGGTACCTTGTCACATGTTCTGTATTATTTGGAACTTTTTTTGTTTCTCCTCTGTGAGGCGTGGAAACATCTGCAATGAAATAACGTCGAGTTTTGTGTCTAATAAAGCAAATAATGTTGCCGAGGAGCCGCTTCCCTGCGGGGCGCGGCTGGTGCCTCTGGGCGGCGCTGCGAGCCCAGCGCTGCCGGCGTGCGGCAGCTGCCCAAGGAGCGGGGGAGGGATCGGGAGTTACCCACGGGCTGCAGCCGCTGCAGGGATCTGTAAAAAATACCTGTAAAGGATATAAAAAGTAGTGAAATTAACAGCGGTTTGAGCTGTTTATTCAGTTCCGGATTGGTTTCTAGATTGATTTTGGCATTTATCTATTGAAGAGCCTATCAGGAATAAATCCCAAAAACTGTCTCTAGGAATGATACAAATGTAGAAGCTGTCAAAGTTGTGTAGCTTTTAAACAAATTCATAATTCTAGGCCTTGCATTGGACTGACAGGATTTGTGACCATGAAATGGAATCCTTTCATGTGCTGCACTGGTCACTCTGAGATGAAGATTCCCAGTGTCCAAATCTGACAGCAGCAGCTTAAGTAACTCTTTTGCTGTTCTTCTCACAGAGCATCTGTGTGGTGATCAGGCACAGCAGGCTCTGTTTCTCCTTGTTTAAGGGTCTGCCAACTTCAGATTATGTAAGAGCTTTGTTTATAATTTGTCTCAGAAAAAAAAATTAAAATCTGCCTGCTAGAGGCTTAAAGCACTATTAATGATCTGAAAGTGGGTATTGTTACAGGCTCACTTGCCACCTTCCATAAACCTAACTCCTAAACAGTACCCTTTCTGTGGCAATTCTCTAGCTGTTGCTTCTGCTAAATCATGTAGCTTAGTTTTACCAATTCTGTCATGGTGCTGTTAAAAGCAATAAATTAGCAAACACCATATCAGAAAAATTATTAAAAATTCTGCCTCAAAAATCCAGGTTTTATTATCTTGGCCATCAGTGTTTCTGACCTCCCGTTCAATGTGCTGCTTACCTTGATATTCTTTTCTTGGCTTCGAATTAAAGCCCTAATTAGATGAAATGGTTGGATTTATAGATGGTAACTTTGTTAAAATATAGGCACGATGATCCATGTAACATGTAAGTGTGTTACATTTATGCTAAGCAGCCAGGTACAAACTGGTTCTTGAGATTTCTTGTGTGTTGGGGTTTGGCAGGGTTTTTTTTTTTCTCCCTGATATTAAAAAGAAAGTTGCACAGAAACGAAAGAAACAAAAATAACCCCTAGAGAGCACAGTGTTCCCAGTGAAAAAACAGGTAGGTATCCGGGCAGGAGTATTCCGTTCAATCCATATACATTTGTGTTAGGTGTTTTTGGGTAGTATTTGGGTATGTGCTGGTATATTTCTGTGTCATTGAGCCTGTGAAAAATTGGAACCCTGGAATAAATGAGTCAAGTATCCCAAGTGCAGCTTGCAACAGAGAGGACAGTAGAAAACTCCATAACTTCGATATGTTCTATATGGGAGTACTGGGAAAACAGTTTTAACAAAAACCAATCTACATTAAATCCTTCAGAAACACAAACTGCCCAGGAAGAAGATAAAACTAACTAGAACCTGTCCATTATGAAATGTGTCAATAGCTATTTCTGTAGTATCTCTTTGCATGATGACAGAGATTCCTTTCCTTTTTCTGGCCCTTTTTTTTCCACCGTGCTGAGTTGAATGAGCGTTCTTCAGTCCAAGCATTGTTGGTATTGTTTTGGATACTCTTTGGAAACAGAAACTTAGAGCATTATCTGTTCTGTTTAGACATCTTGCATTACTCTTGGAGAAATGATTTAGATAATTCTGTAACTGATCTTGGTGTGAACGATAGCAGTTACATTGCACAATTGTTAATCCACTTAGTGCCATAGATCAAGGCTGATTTTGGCCTTATCCAATTCTATCCCATCTCTTTCTCCTGCCTGCTTCAGAACACACTTTCTGATCCTTTATGCAAGATGGGACATAGATGCTCCCCAGTTGGAAAATCAGTCTCTGTGCTGTACATAGGAACATGTGTGTGCAAGAAACATGTGAAGAAATGTGACATGAACCTTAAATCCCATAGTAGAAAGGGCCAGGGCTTGATTTCACCTTCCAAAATTTTTGGGAGGGAGCTGCTATAAGAAAAGACAGTCACTGTACATTGCTGCTAAGAAAAGCAAATGAACGTGCTCTTCGGAAACAACAAAATTTTATTACTTCACTTGTACTACAGCCAAGAAAGTACATTCCACTTAGAAAGATGTTAGGGAACACGTGAAGAAAAACTGCAAAATGTTTGATTTAGGCACATACAGCAGCGCGGTGCCAAAATATTATGATGAGCAACTGTGTACCAGGCAGCAAATTACTCAAAGGAAGAACGCTGCTTACCAGCTTTCCAGCCCAAAAGGAAATACACTGAAATTCCACTGATCCTGCCTGACTCTCTCAGACTCTGAAACTAGAGCCCAAAGAAATAGTTACAGACCAGAGTCAGGCTTTTTCTATTAGTGCAGCTAACAATATTGGATGTACTTATGCATGCATACATATATATATTTTATACAAAAGCAAATCTATTTACACATAAGGCCTCAATTATAGCATAAATGCTACTAATGTGTTGGTAGGCCATATAAACTAAGTAAATTATATGAAAGGCAGTTTTATTCTCTATGCCTAGGCCAATAACTAGGAAAAAACAGTTCAAATTTACCCAAAGCTCTATGCTTTTACTTTCAGTGGAGTTTTGTCCCACATTCAACTTTTTAATTAAGTGGTATTGCATCAGAAATTGGTTCACTCCACATAGCATATATATATATATATATATATATTTACATTGGTGCATGTGTGATTCTGCAGCAAGCAACAAGTTGGAACGGAACACAGCAGAACTGGGACTACTTCATCTTTCTTATGGGAGTGGACTCCATTTCCTGGATGAACTGTCTTGCCTCTTACTTGGAAAAGAAGTCCAAATTTGGCTAGAGACTTGTAACAGAATACTGATGAATTCACTCCACCCATTTTTTTTAGCTTGACATTAGGGCAAACAAAATGTTATATTATTTCTTTACCTTTGCTTGAAAGAGTAATAAAGAGCAATCAATAGTTGAAAACCTCTGTAGTACTAAAATTTTAAAAATAGAAAAATAAGTGTGGCACAGAAGCTATAAGAAATATTTTCACAAATTCTTTGCACATTTTGAATGAGCCTAATATCTATATGAAACATCTGCTCAGTATTTTGCACCCAGCTGGTGTTAAAAATACACTAAGTTACCAGAAAACACAGGGTCTCCTGTCTTAGTTTTGAGTGTAAGATAAAGAACATTGGGAGAAGACAGTGTTTTTTTTCCATATATTTCTTTTTTTGTCAATAGAATGCAGCAATTCAGTGTTCTCCATCTTGAGATTCTTCTCCAGCTGCAGAGTGGAGCCACTGATAGCTTCATTTAGGTGGGTGGCCAGGGATTCCTGCTTTGGGCAGTAGCAGGCAATCAGGAGACTCATGACCCAGTGATGTATGGCCACAGCCTCTTTGATGAGAATGCCTCAATTAGGAAAGGTATCAGCAATGGCAAAGAGGATTATTTTTATTATGTGTTCTTTTTATATCAGCGAGGTATGGAACCACAGCAAACCAACAGGATTACAATGATAATCCTCATCAAAAGCCCAGTTATATGCTGATAACTTTCAGTTCAGGCTGGATGTGCACTGCAAGGGCACACATCCAAATCTCATGACCCTCAAAAACCCTTCAATTCAAGCAGCAAGTGCAATTAAGCCAGCTGTTTACAGAAACCTGTATATGTAAAGATGCACATCTGACTGGCAGATGCGAAGTCAAGAACACCTCCAAATCTCCTATCAGCTCTTTTGGAGAGAGCTGGTGACACAAGCAGTCACTGGGCAGTTTCACAGTAGTGCACAGGCGCGTTGTCTGAGCTCCACAGCTGCTCACTGACCGTTCCCGAGCGGCTCACCTCCCACAGGGCCAGCTTCAGCACCTCAGACACTGTGCTCTTGACCTGGGCTTGGAACTTTTTGCTAATCAGAACATAGAGGATTGGGTTGAGGCAACTGTTGATGAAACCAAGGCCAGTGGAGAGGGGAATGCCATCCTGTAGTAAGTCATGCAAGTTTTCATCATGGTGAGCAGACAGCTCCACAATGCTGAATATGTGATACGGTGTCCAGCAGACAAAAAAAGCTACAACTACAGCAGTGATAGTCCAGAAAAGCCTGCTGGAAGTCAATACAGTTCTCCTCTTCACTTTGACAATCAGCAGTGAGTAGCAAATAACCATGGTCACTAAAGGAAAGAGGTAACCAAATGCAAGCCTCACCCAAATGAGAATGTGATGTGTTAGCAAAATAAGTTCCCTGTCATGCACATGGAAGTTGTTGTAGCAAATGGTGACATTGTTGAGCACTGTAGCTGTGTCTCTAAAGTATAAGGCAGGGCCACCAATAATTGCAGCTGACATCCAAATGACCCCACTCAGAACAAGGGTGTTCTTCACAGTCCTGTATTTGTAGGAAAAGACCGGGTGGACAAGGCGGACGTAGCGGTCAAGGCTGATGAATGTCAGGAAGAAAACACTGGCAAACATATTAAGTAGTGCAATGAATGAGTTCATTTTGCAGAGCCACTTCCCAAAAGGCCAGTGGAAGCCCATTGCCACGTATGTAATATAGAGGGGCAGGAAGAGAACAAAAATGAAATCTGCAATGGCCAGATTCAGGAACCAGAGTGTGGAAACAGATTTTTCCCACTTAAAGCCCATGAACCAGATGACAATGGCATTACCTGGCACTCCCAGCAGAAATGCCACACTGTAAAAGAAAAGGGAAATAATATGGGCAATGCTGAGGGAGGACTGGGGTGACTCATCTTCCTCAGACAGATCATAGAAATAAGAGTAGTTCTCAAAATCTTCAAATGTCATGTTGCAGAGTGGCTTTCTGGGGAAGAAAAGAAATGAAATGGTCAAAGGAGAAATGTTTTACTGCACTGTAAATAGCAAACTGCAATTCTTTCAAGTTCTTGGTCATAAACCAAAAGCACTGCCTTAGCTTGGCAAACCTGTCACCTTTTATCTGTCAGTTGCTAGCACAAAACTCCTGAAGAAATTTGGTCACAGGCATTTCAAGAAATGTTCAAATCAAAACAGAACTTGAAATCTTCAAGAACTGTTTTCCTTACATTAATTTCTTAACAGAGCACTAAGGACAGTACCACTGAAATTTCTAGGAGACTAGATAAAAAGTTTTACTGAGGTATGATTATGTTACTCTTTTCTGGTCAGGTTTCATATTTTACTGCTCTGTTCCTATATGAAGCAAGTTTTATGGATTATATCTATCTAAAATCGGAGGAGCATTAGACATGTAGGTAGGAAAAAAAATTCACTTAAATGCCAGGAAGCCAAGTTTTATAAAATTTCACCCACTGCCCCTGCCTCAAATTATAGTTAACAAAATGTTAGCAATTTCTCCAGCAACTAAAAGTTCATGGGTTTATTCATCTCTTTCATGTATGTCTTTGTGTCAAGAAATTATGATTTTTCAGGCCCATTTAACATAATGGATTTCCTTAACACAGAAAAGAATGTAGAGAAGGAAATACATAAAACATATTGCAGGGATAATACACTCCGTGGAATTCTTCAACTAATGAGCTGAGAAACAGGTAATACATGAAAGAAAATAAAGCTTCCCATGAGCAAAAAACACACTGGAAGAGCTATAAATGAAAATATTAGTGTTCCCTTTTTATTTTTTTTAAGACAATTACAGAATTTTCTCCATTTTCTTCTCTTGCAAAAGCTTCTGGAACTTGCAATTACAACAAGATTTTTCACATAGAAATTCTTTCTGTCAGTGGAAGGTGAGGGGGAGGGGAAAGTGGAATATAAACCAAAACTGAGGGGGAGAAAAAGAAATTAATGGGAAAACAGACAGGAAACAGAGTCTGAACAACAGAAAGAAAAACAGTCAGAAGTTATTTCACAGTATTATTTCACAGTGTTTAGTTTGCAATATAAACAAAGCTGCAGCACATCAGAGGTGGCCACAATCAGACAAAAGTCTCTGCAATGATGAAAACAATTATTTTGCTAAACTCTGTCATCATTTAAAGCTGAATTGTTTGGCTGGACTCAGCTGCACTGAAGACCTGTGCCTGAGAGCAGTCAATTAGCTATACTATGATTTATCTTACCGCTAAATTTCTGAGTGCTATCTCCATTCCGAAACCGAAATTCAGCCCGCGCTTTTGGAACTCAGCCCTGCATTCCTGTAATTCCATCAATTATAACGTGCTAAGGACACCAGGAGAGGGGTCTCAGGAGCACACTGCCTGCAGAACCACATCTGCAAACTTGGTACTTACCTTTCCTCCAAAAAGCAGTTCACTCACTTTGAAAGGATCACCCACACCACTGAAGCTACGCATGTGCACATGCATTAGCAGGATTAGACTTCTCATTTGTAGGTGGATAGACAGGGAAGGAAAAAAAATGGTTGTGTAATTTTATATGTCTTGATTAAAAAAATATGTAGTAAGAGTCAGCACAGCCTGTTCTGTCAAGAGGCTATGATAGCATTTGTGATTTACATCAGGCTGAAAGAATGTTATTTGGTTTGCTGTCCTGATAAATGATACTTATTGGGCTGCATTTATGTAATTACATGCCCCTTGGGGGTGGATTCTGCATCAAATACCACTACCACCCATCTGAGTAATTTTTTCTAACAGCTTAACAGCTGCTGAGAGAAGAGTATAAACATGGAGCAGTACCACTAACATCTGGAACGTTATATTTGGGCAGTTTCAGAGGACAGGTTAAAAACCGGATTTTTAAGTGGGTTTACCTATACAAAAAACTATACCTTCAAATCAAATTTATGCAACTAAACAAAAAAAAATTCCAGCTATAATGACAACGATAAACATATGCCTACTGCCCAATAATGATAATTTTATATTTAGCATTTTAAAGATGATGTATCACAGGAAAAAAAATCACATACCCAAATAAATGCCAAATATTTCTCGAGCCTCCTGTAGTTTAAAATTCTAATGGAAGACCACACCTTTAGAATGCAATTATTTTTCCAGGCTTATATTTTTCCTCATCTCTAACTCTAGTCTTCAATGCAGGGACTCTTTAGTAGTGGGAGTAAAAAAGCAGAAGGAACATTGTTTACCTCTGCTCCCAGTGCACAGATGCTGAAATTAGACTCTATGGCTAGGGCTCAGCAGAGACTGCCAATTACATTTGCAAAACCCAGACTTCTGACACTGACATATATGAAGCACTTCTACAGCAGGACTCGTGGTGTTAAGCCCTGTCCTGAAAAAGATAAGCAGTAGGTGATTTTCAGTGGAGTTCTACTGGTTTACATCAGTGAGGACACTGATTTTTTCCATTAACTGTAATTAACTGTAATTTCCATAACTGTAATTAAGCACGGATGTTTCTCTGTGGTCTTGAAACACATTATCCCTTAATATATAACTCTGAATTTAATAAATTTCCAGAGTCAAAACTGTCTTGCAGTTCAAGTCTAGGTCTTGTGAAGAAATGCAATTGTATACTTTATCCTGTCACTAATTAGCTGTATGATCTTTGACAAATGGCTTACTTTCCAAGCTGGAAAAATTCTCATGAAGATGTTTGCAAACTGAGGCTCAGTAGAGAAAACAATACTTTCAGACAGCAGTTTCTGCTTGGCTTTAAGGCAACTGTTCAAAAGGGTGAGGGAGGTTTGGTGCTGTCCACTGGCTCAGTGTCTGCTGTTCTGGGGATCCTGTGCATGGAAAACATTTTTCAATAAACAGGAAAGTGTGGTTAGAGGCTTGCCAATAAGCCTTGGGATCAGCTACAGGTTACAGAACAGTGTTCTATTGCATATGGATTAATATAACCAAGTTACAATTTCATCCTGTTCTTTTTTTTATTTTTTTTTTTAAATAGTAAGCACCCTGTGTAAAGTGTACGCTCAGCAGTTGTTTGACGTGTCTGTTCCTGTTTGGTGAGTCACAAGCAGCTCTGAAAACTGAGCCTCCTTGATTCAGTTGCTTAATTATGAAAATAGTTGACCAGGAGGTTTCATTTCCTGTCCTCTTCTGTAAAACAGAAGTAAATTTCTAAATTAGTTTATAGGAATATATTAGGATGGCTCTTGACAATTTTAGATCTTGGGGCAAAAAGCAGCTTTATCAAGAAATACAGATCATCAGGAAATATGTCTAAAATACAAAGCTACAGAACTGCTGGGAAGAGACTTCACCACGTATTTCATGAACAGATTTTCTCTGAATTTCTGCAGGGAATTACAGACTTGGATCTCTGTTGACGTACTCACTGCTTTCTACTAAAAGTACCTAGAGTTCATGTCCTCTGCCACTATTATAGCTAAGCCACAATGACAACTTGGACAAATGATTGGATCTGTCTAAAACAGAGCAGCTCTTGTCACACCAAGAATGGCCTTACAGTTATGACATGGGACCAGTTCTTTGGAATCTATTCATGGCTATGCCACATGCATCCCGTTTGACCAGGGGAAGTCGTTTGACCTCTCCACACCTCAGCCCTGAGGTCAGTGCAAGGGCTTTGGAATTAAATTACATTGGGCTTTCAGTCTAAAATAGAAGAGAACAAACAAAAAGTTGCAATTTCCATCCACGTCACTTGAAGCAAAGTCCTCCTGGGGGTTTGAAGTTCCCTGGCCACCACACAAGTTAGGACCTAAGTGAATTACAGTGGCAGTCTTTACCACAAATTCGGGCTCAGCCCACACAACCTCTCTCTCTCACATTTGGTCCTCGTTACTTTTGAATTTTAAAGAAAGGTCGAAGGGAAGAATTTATTCATTGTCTATGTTAGTTAAAAGTTACCACAAATATTTGAGTGATAGTCCCCAAATCTTTTTTTTTCAGTGTGATAAACAGTGTTTAGAGTCTCTGGCCAGCTAAATTGGTTCCAGAGGTCACAGTAATGGGTCCTGACTTACTAGAAAATTATGGTTTGGAGGGCTGGCTGTCTCAACAGTTCAGTTCCTAGAGGGAAGATACTATACAAACTCTCCTATCAATGTCTTTTTGAGCAATTGTGAGCACATCACATTCCATGTGTATTATCTGTGGCTAAAGGAAAGCTTATTTGATTGCATCACTTCAATTTTGGTCATTGCAAGAGTCAAAAGTTGGAGAACAACTGGTTTCACAAAAGGTCACCTAAAGCCTGCTTGCCATACTGTGTGTCAACAGGTTTATCCGGGTATTGAGTTCAGCTGAAAGCCCTCATAACTTTTTCTTGGAACTTTGGAGGTGACAAATTTTAAATTTATCTAGCTTCAAAAACATAAACATGAAATTCACCTGGTTGTTTATCTGTAAAGTTCAAAACTCAGGAGGCTGAGCAAATTCATTAGAGGTACACAAGTATTTCTGGCAAGCATTTCATAAAGACATAGGATAGATTCAAAAACACACAAGGAATGCTGATGAAATTACAGACTGTCATAGACTCTCACTTCTCCCTCAAAAGGACAAAGCCACTTGTCTCTATGCAGAAACATTCCTACAGCAGGAGTTGCCTGATAGACTCATACTACAAAATTAAATCATAGCTATGCTAGAGATTAAGCCTAAAGTTGGCCCTGCAGACAAACCTACTAGGTATGGAGCATTTTAAGCTGGTCTACACAAAGGCAGAATCAAGGCTTGTGTCAATGTTTTCTTTTTCACAGACACATACACAAACAATTGGTTTTTGGCTATCATTTTAATGGTGATTAGATATATGATAACTATTTCATATGTCATCCCGAATTCAGTAACTAGAACGGGTCACAACAGATACGACATGTGACTGGAAATGTTTTTTGAGCCACAACATAGATGTATTTGTTCTAGCAGATCATAAAGGAATGCAAGTAACAATCATTCTCCATTATGTCTCTCAGTGAAGCAGTGTTAGAAATGTATTTGCAGTGTACTAGCTAGACATGTCCTAGAACTTAGGCCAAAACTAATTTTCTTCGAGCAAGGCCAAACACAACCCTGTTAGTCATAACACACCACCTCATCTGCGGTATTGAAGTCCTTTGACCAGATGATAGCCTGTTAACACTTGACACAGAGTGTTACAGGATTAACAAACTTTTATAGCACAGACTCAGTTAATATCGGTAAATCTACAATTTCGGACCAGCAGTTTTTCCCACAGACAAAATGTTAAAAAAACGGGAAATCCAACTTCATATCTAAATAAGGCTGCTGTAGTAGGAAAAGTGTCACAGTGGTTCTTGTCTGAATATAAAATACCTTCCAGACAACAATTGCAATTGAGCAGCGTACCATTTCCACAATCAGGGACCTGATAAGTGTCTGCAACCAGTAATTGTCTATCATTGAAAAAGATTTATTTTCATGCTGATCCCAAGCACCAAGTCTTCCATTCCCAAAGATGACAAAGAAACACAGACATCCTCAGGATATGCACTGGAGAAGGGGAGAGCACTTGATAACTCTATAGTTAGCACTTGTTTCTGTCTTATTCCCTTCTGTTAATACAGCTGAAAGTAAGAATATAATTTTTAATATTTCTTTGGAATGTAAGGAGTTGATGTAGCCACTAAAAATCACGTAACCACAAAAATCATACATCAGAGTCAGGAAAGTGACTGGTCATATCTGAAACTTAAAAGTAGCACCATTTTTAGAGAAAAAAATTCTAATATTCTTACCAAAAAATATAGAAATTCAGCTAAACGGTGACACTTGAGATTTAAAAATTCCCTAATGTACTGTGTGTGGCAGCACTGCCAAAGAATTTACATAACCAGTCACAATGCTTCAGTACTCATAACCCTTACTGAAATGGGGTTCAAGTGAGAAGTATCATCAGTCTGGATTTCTGGAGAATGCTGAGAATGACCTACAGGAAGTCTCTGATCAAACCAAGTGCTAAATCCAGAATCCCTGCCTAGTGGTTCAACCACAGCCCTATCCTCCCTTCTTAAACTTAGCACTGTCCCTTCTCTCATGGTGAAGTGAAGAAACCACAGCTTCACCTCTGGGAGACCTTTCCCTTCCTGAAGGGAGCCTCCCTTCTGTGCCGTCATGCTCGTGGTGGTGGAGGAAGACAGCACTTACCTGGGTAGCCCTTGCTGCTCCTGGCCTGTTTTCTCTGCATGGAAGAGAAAAGCAAGCTGGATTTCCAGCATTTGCTTGCCATCCCCACTGTTCTGTCCTAGCAGTGCCAGGATACACCTCAGAGCCCAGCAGGTCCACTGTGTATCCTACTGGATACAGCGTGAGGTAACACACTAATCAAGTATTGTTCCATGGAAGCTTCACGTGTTTTCTATTCCTCCTCAAATGCCAGCAGTACTTTCTCTGGCTATAAGCCACCATAATAACTACATAGCTAGAGCAGCAGAGATATCTGATTTTGAAAAAAAAACTAAGTGCCTCAGCTTCACAGTGACTGGACTGATGGGATAATGAATGCTTGTGTTTCAAATTAATTATGGCTTTTTTAAGGTTTTCGTGCAAAAATTAATTGGAATTTTTACTTTGCATCTGTTTCATATATTTGTGATGAAAGAATATTTTGACTAATGTTCATGTGATTGTTACATGATCATGCAGCTCTGAGCATGTTTTTTAAATGGTTGTACAATTTCAACAAACACATGTTTTGACCACAATTCCTTCCTAACAAAAAATAGTGAAGTGAGAGTAGAGGATACAGAGTAAATGCAGAGATTCTTTTCTGCAGTTGACTTGGCAGACTAATTAAGGTCAATTAAACATATATTCAACAACAGCCATTCAAAAGGGATTGCAGGGTAACTACAGTCATTACAGAAAAAAAATCCAAAGTAACCCTCCAGCAAGATACAAAATATCTATCAAATAGCAGATAAAATATAGGGTACAACCTGCTATATTTACAGCCCTTTTAACAAGAAGAGTTAAGAAATAACCCCAGAGGAAACCAGCACCACAACTCATTCCTCTAATATGCCTTCTTATATCCTATTCAATTTCAGAGATTAGTTTCCTAGTCACTAATTACAGTATGCTTGGTTGTGTACTGCCCTCTAAATTGATCTCTGTTTTCCTAGGTTTATTCTACCCCTCATTTATATAACTCAGCAGTTTCTTCTAGCATAAATGTAACATTGTTATGCTTATATTACTCTTGACATATACTCTTGCATGTGTATATCAGAACATCCAATTCCAAAATACTGCTAGTATATATCTTATCCGCTGGAATGTTTTGGATAACATACTTTATTACATTCTCACAGTTAATATACTAGGATCACTGTGTACAGTAGATTAGGGTGTCTACTCCTGTATCAGTGTTACTCTAATTTTCCTACTCATACAAAGCCAACTATTCTTACTTTAAGATCAAGTCCATAATAAGTACTGGCTTTATTCCTGCAAAACTGAAAAACTCACATTGTTAAATACAGTTTCAGGAGGCCCAGATTTTTACCTGTTTCCCTAACATGGTACTGGGAACACTCCCCAACACTGATAGGAATAGAGGGCACCTATGATTAGGGTGTTAAATTAGAGAGCTTAGAAATACTGGTTTTACAGGCTTCCCATATTACTTCTCACTTGACTCTGCCAAATATGGTACAACACCCTCATTTAACATTACTCAGGTTTCTTAAATGGGCAATGGTTCTTAACATTTCCAAAATATCTCATTAAAATGATGTGGGGCTGCAGCTCATTAAAAGGGCATCACTAGAAAGAGGAGATGAGAATGTAGAAAGTAGAATTACATTGACTGTACAGGACTTACTACACATCACTTTCTCTCTCTCCTCTAGAAGGCCTCAGAAGGGAATAAAACTTGTGTGCCAGGCTGATACTTGCTGAAAGAAGCAAGTATTTTATGTTGGGAAAGTACCCAAAGGCCTTAGTCCTTGAAATCAAAGCCTCACTAGATCTAGGCACTGTAAGCATGCAATGAAAGACAATTCCTGCTTTGTTTACAATTAAACAGAATAAACACATACAAGAAGAATAGGGAAAGGATGAGACATATCTTGCCCAAAGCCAAACAGTTAATTTGAGGGTAAAGTTGGAAGCAGAATAACTTGTCGAAAGAATAAAGAGGCAAATATCTTCAGTGGGTAGACAGAAAAGATGCTGGTTCTTCATACTTGTGCCTTTTGATTCTTTAAATACATCCTTCAAGAAGTATAAAAAAGGGACAAGAGAGCCTTGGTAGGGGAAGAGAAGTAGGAGAATGCTACAAAGTTTTTGCTAGCTAATATCTCTGCAAGAACTGGAGACCTCTACAGTGCCAGCCTTCACAGATAATCCTTGCAAGCTAACCTAACTTGCAGCAAAGAGTTTGGTTAACTTCCCTCTGAGCTCAGTAATGAAAAATTATTGCATCTGCAGTAGGTCTAGTAGTAGGTCTATTCAGCTCACCTGAAGAATGGCAACAAAATGGTGGGCCAGGTATAACAGAGCTGCAACAAGCCAGCAGAAATTCCTTTGGGAAAAAATCAGCCATGGGTTAATACATGAATTTTTGTTCTTGCTTTAAGGTCCTCAACCTCTGGAACATACTGAAGATACAAAGAGTACAGAGGTGACTGAGTTGCCCTGTAAGTACTATATGCTACCTTTGACAACACTTAATTTTCTTTTTATCTCAGAAGCCTCAAGCACACTGTAAAAGTAAAAGCAACTGTGAGTTCATCTCCACCTAATAGCATCTCCCCTTCCAGAAGCTTTGTCTCTTGGACACTGCCTACCCCAGTCACAGCAATCCCTTTCTTCTGCTAAGAGGACACAAGAAACTACTCCTTGCAGTCAGCTCTCTTGTGCAAAGCCAGCCACAACAGAGCCCGGCACTGTTGTGAAACTGTAGCTTCAGACTGAATGAACATAAATGAAACCATTATCAGAAATAATGAGTGCAAATTAGCCAGACAACCAGCCACCACAGTAAGAGAGACAGCTGAACTGCTGGCACATTCCATAAAACAAAATAAATAAATAAGCAAATAATAAGACCATTCAATAGATTACAATCCCCTGGAAACCTAGCTGCTGTTTAGTGCTTGGAATAGCAGAGTTATTAATACAAAATGAATATCGAATAACAGATCACAAACTTCAAGTGTCTGTTAAAAAACAGGAGAAGAAAATTCTTTAAGGCAACTGGCTTTAATAGGGAATAGATAAAAATTTTCCTCTTGAATCAATCTATCAGAAATAAAAATCAAAGCGTTTCAGAAGTTGCTTATTTAGTTGTCAGCAGAAAAATAAATTCTTAAAATTAAAAGAAAGAATGTATAATGCACAGGACATAGAAATTGCATTACTTTGATCAACACTTTTCCTCTGCCCTCGCCCATGCCGTAAAAATCTGTAGTCAGATCCTGACTAGGAATCCTTAGACGGAGCTTTCCTGACTTATGATCCTTTTCCACAAAGGTGATTAGAGAATCCAAATGATAAATTCATTCTCCAGGGTCAAATAACTTCCACTGTGCCACAATCAAAGAGATTCTCAGTTCAACAGAAGTGGACTCTGGTGTCACTCATGGCACATAAAAAATCCGTAGGATTGATGCAAAGTTGATAGGACCTCCATCCTGTCTGCCTGGCATAAGTTGCTGGTAATGCTTTAAATTCAGTCAGAAGTTGCAGTGACATTAAACCAAAGTAAATCAGGCTATCAAAATATTTGCATTTCCCAGTTCTGAGGCAGAACAATAACATTACCATAGTGAAAGTGCGGTATCCTATCATAAGTAAGATAATCCTGAAATCAGTTTCTACAAATCTGCTCAGACAAACTCCTTCACCTTGACGTACCCTTAGTCACTCTTCTCCTTAGCAATGAATTAGTAAGTATTTTATATTATTCAGTGATACAATTTTATTCAGCTAGAAAACAAATGTATTCTAATTTGCAGACAATGTTCAATGTATACAAGCTTTCTAAGTCCACAAAAGCAGGTCTGGGATATTGTTTGGCTTGCAAGTTCACATCTAGAAAGGCAACAGGTGACAATGACACTGTTATCACTAAGTGTGAGTAGGAGGTGGAACCTATTCCTGTCTCATTGTGTGGTAGTATACAAGGCTTCAAATCTTGTTGTCACTTCCAATACACTTAATGAAAGCTACATCCATATCCTTATTCCACAATGGTTAGGGAAAACACACTTTCCAGCTGAGATCACAGAAACCTTACTTAATTCTGCAAAACTGTAATTCTTCAGAAGTATTTTGTTAATCTGTTGAAAGTTGAAATTATTCCTGGTTTCTGTTCTAGAATCTGTTCAGATCAGAACTGATGTTTTTTTTAATTAATTATACTGGAAATTGCTACAGCTGTAGAAGACACACTATCCCTGAGCAAATAAAAAAATTAAAACAAACACACTAGGGGACACAGACAGGAGAGAGAGATTTAAGTCAAGGTCACTTACCATTTGCTGACAGGATAAAACTCCTTGAAGTGTGTGTTAACATATTCAAATGTAATTAAAAATTACATTTTCATATCTTTTCTTGGTGCTGGGGTGGTTCAAAGTAATCTTTGAAGTAAATGAGTATCTCATTCTTTCTTTCAAGAAGCTGTTTTAGCCAGTATATGCTAGACCACCTTACATTTGCCAGCAAGTGCTGTTGCAGATGTAGAGACTCACTATTTAGAAGGGAAGGGAGAGAAAAATCTTAAATATAAAAGAGTTTGACCCACCTGGCTTAGTTCTTTCAAACAAAAGGCACTGTAAATCAGGGATGTGAGGTCTGTAGCAGGAGGAAGAGTGAAATGATCTGCAGAGTTGAGAGTAACTTCAGTGTGATTCCAGCTGCTTCACTTGGCTACTGCCTTCCTTCTAATAAACTGCAGAATGATATAACGCCGTGTTTGTTTTCAGCTGAGGAAGTTGTTTCCAACTTCCCTTGGTTTTCTAGACCCATTTTTGAAATATTGCCACGCTGTATAATCCCAGTATTTCACCAAAAATAAATGTTAGACATTTGAATGAATCATTTTGGTCAGTGTCCAAGCAAGCAACAGATGTGGTGGCTGATGAATGGAACGAGACCTTACAGTTGTGGGCTGCTTTTTGTTCTGCGGGGAAGAGGTTGAACAGTATTTCTTTGTAAGCACTTTGGTTTATAGAAAATAATGTTGAATGAGCTTAAAGATGTTTAAAAAGTCGCACTGAAAGCATCATTTTGTAACTGTACAGTGTGATACATTCATTTGGTATTTAGGATTAGTAGATTAATATCCTTTTGTGTGTAAGAGAGAAGTAAGCTCCTCAAAACACTAATTAGTGACTCTCTGTCAGATAGTGTAACACTGGTCAGGAATTTGAACTGGATTTTAGGTAACTGGGCCTGACTCCCAGTTCTGTAAAGAGCCTGATGAGGTTTTGTGGCCAGGCCTCGTGATCTCCTTGTCGTTCAATTTCTCAGTCAGTAAAATGGAAATATTATTCCACTAGTATCCACCTACCACAGCTTACCTGACTGATGGTACCTCACTAATCATACAATTTTAAATCAGCATCTGTCAGTCTACCCTGCCAGTGGACAAAATAATTTAACATTTTAACAGTGGTACTCTGCTGTCACTAATGCAAAACCTATAACATATTCAACACTGATTGAATCTAATCTAGGCCAAATTTTCCAGATATCAAATCCACTGATTCCAGTGAAAAATTAGAAAGAAAAATCTCCAACAAACCAACCAAGCATCAAAGAAAAGCAACCAAACCTCAAAGAAGAGTGAAGCGTTTAATAAGATTGTCTAAACTGGGATTTCAGCATCTGGTTAGAAAGACAATCAGTTCTTAAGCAACTCTCTTTAGGTTCACAGATCCTCTTAACAGGAACCAAAAACTCCTTCTAGCAAAACTAGTCTTTGTCTTTCCTTTATGACAGTTCTTCTTGTTCTGCCAATATAACTTTAAACACTGAAAGTTATACATGTATACTAAAGTTTCACATGTACATTGTACACGAGTGGGAAAACCTCTAATTCCATGAAAGGAGCATGGGGATTATGCACAGAGCCCCTGGAACATAAGGAAAGGACAGGGGAGCAGGATTCCTGTGAATTTATGGGAACAAAGACAGGGGGTTGCCTGAGGAAAGCACCTCACTTGTTCATTTCTTGTATTTTAAAGATATCCTGTTTTCTCTAGGTAACTGATTGGTGAATCTTCACTAATAAAAGCTCTTTTAACAGTAATTATCTTCTTTTGTAAATACTGGTATAGGGTAAATACAGGCACCATTTAACAGCAGATCTGCTGAGGGTTTTTTCACCTGTAATGGCATGTAAGTCTGTGTGTCTAGGTATTTCACCAAGTCTAGTTATTTTAAGGCAGTTAATTCAAAGGTATGCTCAGTATTATTTCAGCAGGACAAAAGAGGAAATTAAGAGGTAGATAACTCCCAGACATGAGGATAGAACCCCCAGCAAATGGTTATAATTTGCCAAATGCTCCTCACCTTCTTGGTGAAGGGAGCATTCTGGAGAGTGCAAAAGACTCTTGCAGCATGGGGTAGTGAGGAATTGTCCTTAAGGGGCTGTTCACTTCACCACAAACTAAAACAGGTTTGTGGCTACTCTAACATATACTGGTGTTGATACCTCAGCTCTTACATCCTTCAGAACCAAGGGAGGATTAAACCCCATTTAGCAATTTTCCTCACCCTTCCTTACCACTGCACCAAATATGAAATATCAAATGCTAAAGGCATATTCATAAACAAAATGACAGAAGTAATTTTGCAGAGGAAAGATCTCATAGGAAATGAGATTTTTTTTCAAGAATAGCAGATTACTGCATTTAAAATAATTTTCCAGCTCTCTGTCCTACCTACAGTTGCTCCTTTTCCATTGAAAAGGACTTCTGCTTTGATGAGTAATTACCCAGCTTGCACAGTATAACTAGCATAGTAACATACCTGGGAGAAAAACGAAAAAAGAAAACAGATTTTTACAGACAAAATTGCATTCAGTCTGAAAGGGTTTAGTTCTGCTTGTTTTCTATTTAAATCTAAATACAGCATTTTAGTCATATATAGCTTTGATTAACCACAGTGGAAATCCCTGAAGAATGTAAGCTTAGGCTCTAAATCTTTCATTGTTTTAGTTCTTTCTACGCTCAGACACAGTGAAACTGGAATGCTGAGTCACAAATTACATGGCTTTTTAATTAACACTTTTGTGCAACCCATTAACCACTGACATCATCTGAGTTTGATCTTTCCAGATAATTTTGTGAAAGCTCTATATGCTTGGAAGAAAATGAGTGAACTATAAAAAAAAAAAAAAAAAAAAAAAAAGAAAAAAAAAAGAAAAAGCTTGTTTACTTTCATGTCTTCTTTCTCATTCTGGAAGTTACATTGTATTTTGCCCTGTTATTTGTGTTTTTTCAACTGGGCGGGTTATCAAAGCTCTGGAATTTTTACTCTTCATTAAGTATGGCAATGTGCCAGGGAGCTCTGAAGAGGGGCATGCATTCATGAGCATACGGAGCACGTGGAGATTGCAAAGCAGCCAAATACTACTTTATACCTGACGGAAAAAGAACAAAGGAGAGGATTTGCATACAGACAATAGACATTGGGTCGTCCAGCAGCGAATAAACTGTATCTATTGAAAAGCAAGTTAATTTTAAAAGTACTTCTGATTCTTTGGGGGCTTTTTAACCCTATAAAACAAAACAAAAGCACAAGATGTGTGGAAAAAAATACACACTGGAAAAGCTTTCCGAAATTCTTTACTGATATTAACCAAAGCACAAATTACAAAGCAATAAAAAAGAAAACCAACAATAACTTTTAATTTATCTAGATTGCCAAAAATTGCCTGATAGTTCTGATAATTATACCCACTGCTGGGACCACTGGATCTTATCAAGTTGCCTGTTAGTATGTGCAGATAATCTCAGCACTAATCAACATCCCATCAATGTTCCTTAATTCAGTTAAAATGTACAAACCACGAATTTGCAAATTAGGTCAAACAAGATATTTCGATTTCTCAGGGTTAATTTCAGTTGAACAGCACAAGAAAGCAGCTACTTACTGTTGTTTATAGTTCGGCCTCTTTTTTTAGAAAAGTAATTCTTCACTGTTCCTTTGTCCTCAGTGTTTGAATACCTCATCGACTAAAACCCACTCTGAAAAGACTGCGTTTAACTACCTGACAATCAGGAAAAGGGTCATTTCCTCCCTTCCTGTGAAACTAATGGCTATTCATGCCTATCCTTTAGGTGAAGCTGTAATGTTTACTTGTGGCTTAAATACTCACTATATAACAGAGTCAGCAACTGTGACAAAATTCTCCAGCGACACATTTGAACGAACCACCCCATGAAGGAAGGTTTGGCTCCTTTAGGCAAGTCCACACCTCTTTCTGTGCTGATATCAGCGATCTGGAAGATCCTCATGTATAACACATAGAAGAAATTCAGTAATTCTGCAGAAGGCAAAATCTTTCCTCATTGCTTTAGTCAGGTCAAGTCACACAAGCATTTATTGCTATGCATGTATATATGAATGTATGTACATTCCAGTTCAAGCTGCAGCACTTCATGTAACTCCTGCAAACACAGTCAGCAGGGTGTTACAATCTATGAAATAATATTAGAGAATAATTTATTACAGTATATATTCACGTGATGTATGTACTATATGTTATTATATAATGTATGTAAAGTATCATTATAGAATGTATTTTTATATGATACCTGGGAGAAGGTACCATTAGAAATACCCTTTTTCCTACATAGATTTTGCTTTTCTATGTGCATTTTTCCTCATTTTCCACAAACAAGTAGGAATTATTTTCTACATAACTTTCAGACCACAGGTATTCAAGTTCCATATTCATATGACAGTAATATAAGAGATTTTACCTGCCACTCAGATAACATTTGAAATCCATGGAATTTTCAGAGTGTGTCTTGACAACCAAACTTCTGATGTATGTCATTGAGTGCTAAAGATTATATTAACTGAATAGCTAACCAGCCAATTCAACAACAGTATTTTTCCATTTTAGCCAAAGTGCTGTCTCCTCCCACAGAAAGGAATGACAGTGTTTGGAAAAATGATTTAAGAGAGATCTACAGAGATTGGAGACACAAAAATAAGGCTATGCAAACTATAGTTGTTTCACTACATATTTCACTAAATATTTTCGTATCTTCAGTACTGGTATACGGATTAACTGACTTGCTCTTTTTCACCTCACATAAATTACATGCAACTCCAGAGTTTCCTCTGTAGACAGGTCCGAGGAGTGAAGCCAGAACTTATTGCAGCTTGGATGGAGTCATATGTCTCAAAACCTGCCCAAAGCCTAGCCAGGCTAGGTTCAAAGAAACCCAAAGCACAGGGATGAACTTTAACTACACCTCTTCAGGATTTAAGTTGCCTCCACCCACTCAGGATGCAAGTCACAGCGTAATTGCTTACAACAAACAGAGATTTATTTTCCTTTTAAAGTGCAAAGACTCAGTTTCCACTTTTTACATCATGTGTCTTTGTATTAAACCCCCAAATCCATAGTTCAAATATGATTACATTATGATGCTACAATGGGCAAAACTCCTGACCCAAGAGGTGCTTCTGTTTCACGTTCTGCAGTCAGCTATTAGCAATTCACAGTCGAGTTGCTGAAGGCTGTTATGATGAATAACAAGGCATAAAGCAAGCTGATTTGCATGAAGGAAACAATCACAGTTCCTGCCCCTCACTATTCGACAACTAGATAATCTTAATTAGGCTATGGCTCTTGGCTACCATGATTACTGAGATGCAGCTGGTCTTAAACACAAAATGGAGACAGAGAAACTGAAAAGGATTCTATTTCCCTGTAAAAGGCACAGAGCAAAACTGAATGTTCATACAAAATTTGAGCAGTTCCCTGAAAACATATGCTAGCAGTCATGGTGCCTCTACAGGACTCACATGTGATCAAACAAGGTTGGTGCTTTGCATCATTAATGCTCAAAATCTTAACTGAGAGAAACACCTGTGCACATGTGGTATTGTAGAGCCTGCTGGTTACTCTTTACAATACTTGATCAGCCACTGACATTCCTTACGAATTATGAACATGCTAAGGTTTTAAATTGGGTAGTAGTTCCTTGCAATGAGGAATGTCTCCTGAGCACCAAGTGCAAAGCTGACACAAATCAAATCTAAATCAAGCTCAATCACCTATAGATGTTATGAGATGCTCCTGACTTGGTGGTTTCAACACATATTCATTTGTACTTTTAAAGTTGCTTTTTACAGTCAGCTACATTTGCCAGATTATTTTTCTGTTTAGTGGATGTAAATGTATTTTGAGAAACACATAACCCTGACTCCACAAGGATTTAAGTTATTTATCTATAGAAATTAATGTGAGACAGGGAGAACCAATGCAAGTTTCTGTCTACTGCTCTGCATTTGTCCTCTCTGATAACAATTTTGCTTCTAAATCCCACCTAGCTCTCAGCCTCTAATGAGCTGGGAGCTGATAAATCCCTATAAACCTGCTATTGTGATAGAGGCAAAGCAAATTATTAGATGCTTTGAAAAACACTTTACTAGTTAAGGACTCAGTGTATAAGTCAACCTTAACTCTTTCATTGCCTTCAATAAAAGCAAAGCCACCATCATGTCTAATAAATCAGCAGTGGGCTCAAGGGATGAGGCATAGGATACCAGCCTAAGTAAAGAGACAGCTAAACCCCCAATATTTCTTTGTCCATTCTAGTTCTAATTCTTAAGCTCTATCAAGACACCTAAAGATTAATTTTAAATCCTCCTTACTTTGCAATCTATTTTTTAAGGAGACTATATTACCCAAATTCAGCACTTAACATGAACCTCAATACGGAATCTACATGAATATAGAGATTTGACTTAGAATTTTATATAAAGGATATTTAAGTTGCTACATGTCTTTTCAAGAAAAATAGTCTCCCTTCTTGTAAAAGAGAAAGGAAGCTTGTGGAGAAGGGAACAGACACTTCTCCATTTCAGGCTGAGAGACTAGGCAAAGGAAAATGACAATAATTGTATTTACCTTGGGTGCAAACCAGAAATTGAACTCCAATTACTTCAGTATTAGAAACACAGACAATCTAACAACATAGAATTGATCAGAAAAAGAGAGAGGCTAAACTCTGATCCAAAGTAATAGTATGTGAAACGCTGAAGAAACACAAATCAAATGAAAGGCTTTTTGTTTAAAAGTTATTTTTCTCCCTTTTAATTTTTTTTTTCTATGAAAACCTCTGTGTTTTCAAACTATAAGAGAAAGAGACTTTTTTCAAAGGTGAATGTTTTTTCTTACCAGTGCATTCCTAGCCTAAGATTAAGTTTCGTCCTTGGGAAATAAACCCGGACCTACTCTTGCTTAAATTTCTGCTTGCTTCCTGAATAGGATAAAGAAATCTTTCTTTAAATTACTCCCATGGTAAAGCAGAGAATCCGCTTTTTCTCAGATGTAAGAAAATATTTTATGTGGTTTATTGCAGGAACATTTAAAAAATTTTACATTATTTAGAACAGCCAGAGCAGAGAAAAATAACACTTACTTAACTACCTTGGAAATAGATTTTGACCCCACCTTAAACTGACTGCAGAACATCCAGTGACTCAACATAATAGAATATATATTTGGAACTCCTCAACTCCTATAAATTACACTACAGAAAGGAAGCTGCAGAAGCATTTTACATTCCTGATTATCTTAAATTAATATCTATTATCTAGTCAAAATCAAAAAAGTTCCATTAAAATGGATGTATATAAACATTTAATTCAGAATATTACAAGGGGTAAAAGCTGGTTTGAAACTTCTGGGAGCTTGAAAATTCTTGATAAGCAGAATTAATAACCTTCCAAGCAGCTTTGAGAAAATTATCTCTTTGTATCAGAAAGATAGTATTGCCTGCTGGAGTAATGGGAATTAATATTTACTTAGGTAAAAATGCTATGAGTTCCTGCTATGACAAAATGTGAGTTAGGCTATAAGGGAGTATTTAAAATATTTCAAGACACTCACATTGACATCTGATTAAAAGCCACATTCATTTGTTACCTTATCTTAATAAAAAGGATGGTTTAAAACAGGCTAAATAAAACTTGATGTTATGCAGACAAGATAAATTCAGTTCTGAATATAAGTGCATTTCAGTCACATTATCCAGCTGTGGTTAAAGAAGAACCTACTACTGTTTCTGTTCCCTTCATAGCTGAAGGCTCCCAGGCTGCAGAGTCCCCTTCAGCATGGAGGAAATGGAGTCATCTCACACTTTTCCACTCCATCTTCTAGCACATACATGTCAGAAATTATCATATATTTCCAAGTAATTTGGTAATCAACAATTATATGTGAAAGTCTTACAACTCTCAAGGGTCAATCTGACTATATAAATCAGACAATTTTAAAACTGGTATTATATTTGAAGGTAAATGGAAACGAAACAATGGAAAAACAGAATAGAGAAATTCTATGGAACTGCTGTTTTTGAGGCTATAAAAAAACTCCATGCACAACATGTAGCTCAAAGAATATCCTTCAATTCATGAGCAGTCACCTTCAGGCAAACCCAAGCCTAGTTACTGACCTAGTCCTCTCCTTTATGTCACTTCCCTAAAAAACCAGGCAGAGTTATTTTGGAGAGATTAACTGACTAAACAATCATTTAACTGAAAACGGAAATTACTGTAACAGTAAACTATTCAGCATTTTATGATGAAAATATATTCTCTGAAAGCAGAATGCTCTTTAGCATACAAACTTCTCAACTGCTAATTTATTTTCTTTACATTTTATTTTAGAACAGAACACCCTAAAACAAGTTAATTTAAGCTAATGGAGAGATTCAAAACAATTGCAGGAAAGCTAGGGGATGGATTTGAAATCTAATGTAAGATGATTAGAAGCCCATCATACAGAAACTTTTTGAAAACCCTGGATTTGGATACATTTCATAGCCAGACTGTTTAAAGTAATCCACTCAGAGCTGCCTCCTCAGCTGTTCCTTCTGGACAACCTGCCAGCAAATGAACAGCAACAGTAATCCTAACAGGAGTAATAAAACCCTCTGGGTTCAGTGCATCCCAGAATTTTTCTCAGTACTATAATTATAAAAATATCTTTATTCTGTACATGTATACAGAAATAAAATATAGAGAGCAATTTTAGTAAAAAAAATGTGTAGAACCCAAAACCTGAAAACATAAGCCTGTGAAAGCAGTAGTATGGCCTCCAAATAACAATAAAATATAGACTAGGGGAGGATTTTTTTCTTATAAAATATTTGGAAAAGAGTCAAACTGTGTAGTATTTCAAATTACCTTTTAAAAATTTAAGACCTGATTACAAGTAAAATAATATTTTTAGGAGACAATGCCCAGCCCATGCATTTCAAAAGTGATTTTTTAAAGCTGTCTAAATGATATTTCAAACTTTTTTCTGTCACTACCCAATCATGTTTCAATTATAACACAACGACCAAGCTTTTTTGATTGATTAAAAAATTAAGCAATTAAGAAAATTCAAGTTTCAAACTTTTAATCTTAAGAAGGTTGCTCTGGCAAGAAAATGAGAAGCAAAACCAACAACCTTAATAGTATCTTTTAAGTTTTGAGGTTAAGCTAACATTATGCATATTGAGGATATTTTTATTATTAGCTCAGGTAAAGCTCTTATGCTAAAATTAAAAAAACTTTGAATACAAAACAAAAAGCAAAGTCCAGTTTTAGATAATGAGAAAGCAAGAATGCCCATAATAAATTTGCCTCTTTTAAAAAAAGAGAAAAAAATTGTTTCATTTAATTTCAGTGCCATATCAAAATAAATAAAAGACCTTTTTTTTTCAAACACTTTTTTTATTCAAAAAATGATAAAAATGCTTGTTATAGAGAGGAATCAATGTGAAATAGTAATGTGCGAACTCCAGCAAACTGTTTGAGTAAAGCAGAACAAAGAAAACAAGCAGCTCTGTTTTGTAAACAGATTATCCTTGCCTTTTACACTTGTGAGGAATTATTTTTTTTTACTTTGAAAAATCTTATTTAAAATATCACAAAATTCATACTAAAGTGGAAAATTGGAATACTGTAGAGGATCAGATAATTGTTCCATAGGTCTCATACCTGATATCAGTTAGTGGCCAACATCAGATTTTTCAGAGGAAGGCAACAATTACTTCCTAGGAATTAAAGGTTTTAATACAGTGCCAGGCACTATGGAACAGCCACTCAGCAGTAAAGTTGGAAAGATACTTCTTCCCCAAGATTACTCAGAATATGAAGTTCTCTAAAATCTACACATGTGGCCTCACTGCCTTGTTATAATCCAGGCTAAAACTGGCAACCCATCTTTGGGAACATTTGGCAAAAGTAATCTCTGCATGGCTCAAGCCCCAGACCTTCAACTGCTGTCAGTCAGTCAACACTTAGCTCAGATCCTTTGAAGAACTTTACCAAAACAATGATTTAAGGATAAATTATGCTTATAACATCAGAATGTATAAAGTACATATGTAACAAAGTAAAAATCTAGCCAAGAGTTTCCTGCTAGTTCTACCAAACTTGATTTTCTTTCATTACATTCTCTCTTTTCCAATCTGAACCCAGCTGCTGGGAGAAATTTGAGACTCTAGGAAAGAGTCTGTCTGTTAATTTGTCTTAATGATTTCATAGGTATGACTCTGACTTACATTTGGATAACAGACGTGGAAACCACAATAAATCAAAGTAAAAGTAGAAAGGAGTGAAAGGTATGGGGCAGTTTTAAAAATCTCAATACATAAGTAAAGATATCATCAAAGAGAAAAAAAGTCTGATGCTTAGATCAGGAGAAAGTATAATTTTTTAAGGGGCAGGAAAGTTTGTCAGCCCTACTCAATGCTCATGCACATATGTCAGGAGTAGTTTCCTAGTAGGGAAGAGGAGTCTGAAGGAAAGAAATCTCTCCCAATACCTTACATGAATTTGAATCAAGGTGCAACCTCAAGCTCATAAATACAGAAAGAGTTGAAAGCTAAAAAATACTTGCAAACACAAGCCTAAGTTCTGCTATCTTTGAGTGACAGTCTAAGAGATAGAATGTTACATTCTATTTCACAAAAATATTCAGGAATATTCTGAGGACAAGTTTTATGTCATTATAAAACGGACTGCATAGATTTCTCACTGCTAAAAAGGGCTTCAGTTTCACATGAGCCATTCTGGAACAGAAACTTCAGTGCCTCAATGCTGTAATCAAGCTTCCTTTATTTCAACAAGCTACGGAGTTAGCTGAGCCACAGTAACTCGCTAATCCTGCCATAAACCAGAAGTAAACTATTTTAGCCTAAGATAACATGTCTATATATGTGTTTGCCACGTGTTTAAACAATGAAGCTCTGCTGACATGCAATAATTTGGGCACACGCCTGAGCCTTCCATGCGTGCAAATGCTCTCATCTAAAACTTCCAGTTTTCTGAAGTTGTGTATCATACTAGGCAACAAAATATCATCAGGCGACTTTTGTTTTGTAATAAGTATTTATTTTTCAGCAAGAAAGATACACTCATAGGTATGCATGTATCAAAAGACTCCAACAGCAACTAAATTCAACCCTCCACAAGAGAGGCCTTCTCCTACTTTTCTGTCATCTGAAATTTGTGTTGAATTACTTGCTCAGCGTGGGTGGACATTTCTAAGCTATGGTTTCATAATCACACAGCCACACAGCAGTGCCTTTTTACATCAACCTCTTTAAATTTTCCGTATTACAGTGCATTCAAGATTGTTTTCCCTCCATTGCACAATCCAAGCTTGTATCTGCACCTGTCTTCACACATAAGGGTGTTGTGTTGACTTTGTGTCTGCCTGGATTGCTTGTAATACCCTGCTGCTTCAGCATCATGAGACAAATATGCAACGGCTGGCTTCCCATAGGAGACGAAAAAGGTCCAGAACCCTGTAACTGAAAGTAAGAGAACCTGAGGTAAGGTCACATTCTTAAGCCCACTTGTAAGAGAAGCAGCTCTAGCATTTAACTCTGATAAGTCAGATCTTAACGTTCTGATAAAACCTACTTGAACAAGCCATACCACGTAGAGCACGCTACTTCTAGCGGCCGAAAATAAAGAAAAAAAAAATTTAAATATGGCTTAGCCTGCTCTCAAGTATATGAAATAATGTGTTATGAAGGAGAAAATGCCAAGTACAATTGTTGAAATGAAACTTAGCTAAGAGGTTACTTTTCCGTAACACCCAGCCGGGGCTGACAAAAAGACGCCACCCCGAGGTGTTCTGGCGCAGTTTTCCAGCACCTGGGCTGGAGAAAGCGAAGTTTTGGGGCACCGTGCGAGCTGCGCCGAGCCAGCTCCCCACAGCCCGGTCCGCGCGGCGGCCGCGGGCCGGGATCCGGGCGGAGCACGGCGCTGAGGGCGGGAGGCGCCCGGGCAGGGCCGGGAGCGGCGCTGAGGGCGGGAGGCGCCCGGGCAGGGCCGGGAGCGACGGCCTGGGAACTGCAGCTCCCGCCGTTCCCGGCGCGGGGAGCGGCCCGCCGACCCGGAGCAGGAAGCCGAGGATGGCGTCCCTTGACCCCAGCGCGGCGCTGAAGAGCGAACGGGGAGTGATGGAGGTGAGACGGCGCCGGGAGCGGGGAATCGGGAGCGGACGGGTCCCGCTCAGCGTGCCCTCAGCGCTCGGCGGCGCGTGCCGGGTCCCGGCGGGGCGGGCGGAGCTCCCGCGGGCACAGCCGGCCCCGGTGCCTCGGCTGCCGGCCGGCCCTGCGGCTCCGCCCCGGGCGGCGGGGCCCGGCGGGAGACGGGGCGAGGCGGGACGGGCACGGCAGGCTCGGTGCAGCCGGGACGGGACCCGCGCCTTGCGGTGAGGCCGCTCCTGAGAGGAGCTGCCGCCTCCCTGGTGGTGGTAGTGCTGTGGGACGGCAAGTCCCTCTGTTTAGGGGAGAGTTTCCCCTCCTGTTCTCCCTCTGCCCGCCCAGCACAGTTGCTCACAGGTGAAGGGGTGGCAGAGGTGTTTATGAGGTGTATTTCGAGGTGCAGTTTTTATTGCCTTTTCACCCTTTTATATTTTACTTGTTGCGGTGCAAGAGTGACACTGTCTGGAGAGTTTATCTGATGCCTTTGGCACCCAGATACTATCAGAATGCACAGCTGATTTTTTTTTTTAATTATTATTTTTTTCTTTTTTTTTTTATGTGTACGTTTCATACCCTTTTGTTGCGTTGTTAAATATTATTGAAGTTTTTCATTCTCTACCTGCTGTAAACAGAGTAATTCAATGAAGCCAAAACGAAGCATTTGTTTTAGAGACAGCTGCTAAAATATCTTGATTAGAATTTTGCAAAATCAGATATTTCTGTATGTAACTTGTTGCTTATACATTTGTTACAATTTAAAGGATTTTTTTTTGTTGTAAAACATTTAATCTTAATATTTAGCAGATATTATTCTCTCTTAATCCAACAGTTTGAGATAGTTCCTGTAAATATCTTACTAAGGCAGAATTATGCAGTCTTTCCTTGGACATCTGAAAAATCCTTTGTGGATTTATAGCTGTAGTCCCTTTTTTATTACTACATAAATTGCAACACTATGGGAAGTAGAGGGAGTTTGGTGTTTTGGTGGATTGTTTTGTTTTGGGGAGCGAGGGGCATGTTTAAAGTTGAGCTATTAAGATATTCCTTCTGACCATAACTGCTATAACAGTTATAGCCCAGGCATTTTATCATGAGCAGTGTACAGTCTGGCAAATGACAACAATGTTTAATACACGGGGCTCTTGAGGAAGAAAGAAGAAACAAAGTTATTCCAGAAGGAATGGTTAACATTTATATGGGAAAGACTGTTGAAATTACTTCCATATTAAAAAATATGTGCTGCAGACTTCAAAAAGATTTATCCATTTGTTCAACTGTTTGCAAAATCATACAGAAAAATTTACATGCCTTAGGGCATGTAATACATGCATTATTAATGTTATTTTAAAAAGCTCTTTAACTTCCTTGTTGCCAGATGGGATGAGAAAAGTGTCCTGCACTGCAAATGGCCTCTTGTTCAACATTTATTGCTTGCTAGTCTGGAGTCAGCTTTGGTGGATGAGGAAGGTTGGTGACTCTAAGGTAAGTACTAGAAAGCGGATTTAAATGCTTGTGTTCCATGTAAAAGGCCTGTGTGACACCTGGAAGTCCTTTGTGTTTGGACACCCTAAAGCACGCAACTGCTTGTTGCTGCAGTCATATTTTTATTAAAAACTGTGAGATTCAAAATTTATTTACAGATCTTTTGAGTAATAAGGATTACTTTTCCAGCCCAGATAATTACTTTGTATGGTGCAGGTCTCATATGGGTTTTCTTATGTATATCTCTTGTCTTAATTGTTAAAGTAACTTAGGAAATTAAGCAATTAAATTAATTAGACAAGGTTATTGTTTAATAACCTTACAGAGTGTGCTCATAAGTATAGTATTTGATTTCAATAATTAAAAGTTAGCCCCTTCTAGCAAAGCTAAAACATACTGTTAAATGTAATATTAGGATAACCTAGTAAAGCAGAAGTTTCTTTTTAGAATGCAGCTTTCTTTAAATCAAGTGTCTGTTGGACTCGGTGATCTTGAAGGTCTCTTTCAACCTGGTCATTCTGTCATTCTGTGAAGTACTGGTCTATAGCTGAAACAGTTTCGAGCTTCTAGAGAGCTTGTAGCTTGGACTGAAGGAGGAGCTTCAGGACACTGTAAGTATGAGGCTGGACTGACTGGAAAAAATTTTTACTTACAGATGTTTGAGAGAATCAAGCAATCTGATGAAGCTTCTGCTTCGTCAGCACAAGGTAAGAAGTTGATAAAATTCAAAGTAGTTTTTGTTGCAGTTACATTTAAAAATGTAATAACTATCAATAGAAGCATTAGTTCACCTTATAGTTCAGTTGCATACTTTGATTTCTTAAATTTCATTACGGAACTTAGATGGAAGGAGTGACTTCTGAATCATCCACAAAGTTTCCATGTAGGTGTAATTTTCTTGTCCTGTTGTAAGATGTTTGAGACACTTTACATTTTATCTCAGTGATCATGGATGTTGCAGTACCAGTGTAGATTGCCTAGTCTTGAACCCTGACAGATTAGTAGAAAAACTCACTCACCTCAGCTATGAAAGAGCAAAGCTTATTTTACGAAGCTGTTGGATGAACTTTTTGGACAAATGGATCTCTTTGTGCTTTTTTTGAACTTACTAAACCTTTTCTCTTCCTTTAAAAGTAGTTTTGACAAATGTAGTGTAAGAGAAGTAGCTAGCTGCAGGTAAAAACTCTCCATCTCCTTGATACTCTGTTGGTTTTTGTGTTTTATATGCATGTTTGCTTGGTTTATTTCTCGGTTGTTTTTGTTTTCCTGTAGGAATCCAAAGACGTGGTGTTGAGGGCTCTCCACTACAAGACAGCAGTAGCAGGTAAGTTAGGTGATGATCTAGCTGGCATCTAGCTTACTGCTTACCAGAGTAAAATTGGAAGAATCTGCTTTTCAGCCTTATCTGTTACCTTGTGTAATGGATGACAGTGGCACAAAATGGATTAATTGTATGATTGGAGGTCCTTTGTATCTTACACCCAGGTACTGTTAAAAACTGTGGGGAAGGCACATTGTAGTGCTCCAAACTACTGTGTGGATGTCAAGTGTTTGTGGTCTTTTTTTCTTTTATTTCAAAATGCTAACAAACAGACAAATGAAAAGATGACTGCCCTTTTCTTTAGAGGCAATTATTTTCAGATTTCAGCTAACTGTGCCTTTAAGCTGTTATCCTTTGTTCTGCATTTAAGGAAGAAGTACTTTAGTGACATTTGCTTGAGAATACTTTCAAATACATAGTCCCACTTACCATTAAAAAGTCTGAAACAGAAAAATTTATTTTGCAAGTTTTTCCCATCTTTAGAAAGATAGATATTTTGAATTTCCATGATAAGGACATGGATTAAACAATCCAACATAATATTACCTGCTTCTTTCAGTTTACACAGAAGAGGGCAAGAACATCCTCAGCCTGGAGCATCCCCTGCGCAAAATAGACAAGGATACTGCAACTGTTGCCATGTACACTACAGTAATCTGGAACAGGTGAGACAGCTTCTGCATAATTTGGCAGCAGATAGCAGGGAGTAACTAAAGGCCTTATCAACTAATAAATATCAGTTTCTACACTGAACAGCCAATACTGAGTGAAAAATAAGCAGTTTGTGAATTGCACAATACGTGGCCTGAGGAAGATACCTTGCCTATTTTGTTACCTGTTGTAAAAGATGCCAGTGGAGTGGCACAGCTGCTGCAGTCTGCTTTTTCAAAGTGCCACACAGCTCTGCATTGCATCCATTATGGTTTTTTCTCTGTCTTTAATCTTGAGATCTCTATATATTTTAAAGTATATGGGTTCTAGTAATATGTCAGATATCAAGGCTGGGGATGTTTGATCAACCATTTTCAGTTCTTTTTTTAGTGTCCTGTGTTATAGACTTTTTAAATTAGGAAGTAGAAGCCTGTTTAATCTTCTACACTTAAGAATATTCTTGTTAATTAGAGTGAATTATAGGATGTTTGCTCATATGAAGTTCAAGAATATTATAAGTAATTTATAGCTGCATTTATAGTATTTGTTCTGGTTAAGAGATTTGTGAGCAGCTGGGAGATTTGTGAGAGTATTTTTACTAGTTAGAAGAGATTTGTCAGCAGCTACCAGAACCACTAATGCAAGTTCTGACTCAGAAAGATGTTTCAATACATTTTAGTATTATTTGAGACTGCCTAAGCATATTTTAAAATCTCAATTAAGATTTTAAAATAGTAAAAGAAGGTTTTTCTGTTTATTTAAATATTTTCATAGCGATGGTGTAATGTTTAACCTGGAAAGGAATTTTTAGGAATAGCATATATTCCTGTGTGTTAGCAGTAGCATTAGACTAATCATCTGTTGTATCTTTCACCAGCATATTTTCAGCTCCCAGCACAGGCATTTTACAACATACTGTAGGAATCGTATGGGTACCAGTAGCTTGATGGAGCGTTTCCTTCAAGATGTTTTACAGCATCATCCCCACAGATACCATGACAGCAGGTATAATACAGAAGGCTTTTTTTCTAAATATGTGTTAGTGGAATGCATGTGTTAGGAATTCCTATTTCTGTTCTACTGCTGAGCAGTACATTTGGCCCATTTGAGGTGTAACTTGCTCAGTGAAGACAATTTAGAAAGACATGTATTTATATAAACAGCATGCAAGTATATTGCTTTACTGTTGTCTCTGCACTTTTAAATTCTTTTCACCCCTCATGGATTTGAAATAACACCACTGATAGCTTAGGTGACCAAGAATTCATGTAAGGGCAAAACAGCCCTTCAGATGATAGGCATTGTTTGATTATCTGATGTATTTGATTACTTTGCATTCATGTAGTAATAGTTCTTTTCCAGTGTTTCATTATATGAGATTTCTCTTGCTTAATCAGTCTTGTATATCCCCTTAGCTGTATGTAGTCTTAGTTATATAACCAAGGAAATTGCTGTACTATAAAATTTGTTCACAGTACTTCTGTTAGCTGATGCCTGCCATGTATTAAAGTAAGCATCCATTTGGGTCTCGCAAGATCTGGTTATAATTTTTGAGTGAAACACAATATTCTCTTCTTCAGTTATATTTACATATTTTAAAAATTGTTTTCACTGGATTTGCCTGGCTGCTACACGTTGTAGCCTTGTGGGTTCCTGTGTTGCATAGGAAAAATACTCCATATCTGTCAGCTGTGTTCATTCTGGAAGTCATAAACCCTTGTGTTTGAGGCTGTCTTAAAGACAGAACTGCTAGATACAGAATACAGAAAAATCTGTTGTCACAGCAAGACTGAACAATCCTAACTTGGCTTCTTACAGGAGTGAGTCAGAAGCTGTGGTATGTCTGTGAGAAACAGTAAACATGGAATTCCTTGGCCACATGTGCAGAGTTCCTATCAGGCAGCCATGTTTTTTAGGGAAAAGGTCATTACTACTCAACAATGATTTTATTCCATTTCTCTACAAAAGCTCAATTTTAAGTAATGATAGTATGACCAGTGAAATTATCTCTTTACAGGCTTACCACTTCAAACAAAGGAAGTATCTTTACTTTTCCTGCTTTGCTGTATTTATAAAATTATTGTAATCTATGTTTGGCCATTCTTAATTGATGATTACATAGAGAGGGTGATAGACTAATGCCCAAATTGTTATCTTTAGCTTTGTGGAGCTTTTCCCCCTCCATAATTTTAAGAAATTGAATATCTCTGCTAGAGTAGCAGAAACCATAATTTCAGCTTGTTCATTAGAAGTGATGCAGTCTAGGTAATGACTCTTAAAAAGCCCCATACTGCTGTTGTTTGAAAAATTTTAAGCATATTTACAGTATATATATAAGCTGTTTTTTCTCCCCTCCCCTTTAGACCAACCTATGATGACATGCCACTCCCCATCACTTTGGAGGCTCCTAGAATTTCTCACCTGTCCTTGGAAGAGATGCAGAAAAAGAGGAACAGTGAGAAACAGAATTCCAGCAAAGACCAGGAATCCATTTGTGAAATAGGCTCTTCTGTTCCATGCCTGTCTCGTGAGAGCACAAAGAAAATTTCTGTTACACAAGGAGGTTTTCGAAAACTTCAAAGAGGCCGGGAACATGTTCCAGGAATATCCCAGCAGTCTACTGGCATTTGTAGTGATAAGAAGTGGGTAACTCTGAAAAATGCTCGAATTGCAAATCATAGCCATGAAGGTCAGTTTACAGCTGTGAGCACTGTACCTCAGCAGTTTTCTCTCAGTCCTACAAGCCACAGTTCCTCTGTTAATCCTAAAACAGGAAAAAATGTTAGGGATTTGGCAGCATCAAATCTGTTTCCGCATGGCAGATATGATGAAAGAGCAATGGAGGTCTGCAATAGTGATGTGTTACTGAACCCACGCTTGAATCCTGCTCCAGCACTGGGTCACCCAAGACGCCCTTCAGTTTCTCATCAGAATCCTACACACAGCCACAGCAATTCTTCCTTTATTACCTCAGGTCAATCTCTCTCAAAGCGAGATAGTTTACGAACTCAGGATGAAACTTTGGTGTCTGATCTCCGTCTCAGGGATACTGTGGGTATGAGCAGCTCCCTAGATCTTGGGACATCCCCACAACTAGCAAGATGCAAAAATGCAAAGACAGTCAGAGGTGATGAAAGTTCAGTGGATGCAACTATTGAAGATGTAATTTTGAAATACTGCCATGAAACTACATCTGAAGAAATTGATTTCAAAGAAGAGAATAATCCCAGTGTACCTTTTTCGTCACTTCTGGACCATACTAATTTAGAGGGCTCTGAAATGAGTTTTGACTGTGACGCACCAATACAGGTAGGAACAGATTTACCCAAGGCAGCTATAAAAGATATAGAATTCCTGAAAGAGGTCCAAGTATGTTTGCAGGATAAAGACTATGGAACACAGCTCTCTTCTGTTTTAAAAACTGAGTCGTTAGAGAAAACAGAAGCAGTGAAAAAGGATGTCGTAGTTCATACCGAAGAACCAGTTCTTCCAGCCCTGCCTCACGTGCCTCCTTCTTTTGTGGGAAAAACTTGGTCTCAAATAATGTATGAAGATGATATAAAAATTGAAGAACTTGTGCGTGATTTCAGGGAAGGTCGTTTTCGCTGCTATTTTAACAGTGAATCCTCAGCCAAATGTACAGGGAAGAGAATGAAGAAAAAAAAGCAGAAGGATGAAAAAAGGATCGATATTATTGAGGGTAATAGAACAGAAAGTGCACCAGTTAAAGTGTTGCCAGAATTTAATGATGCTTTAAGTGGTGGCTCTGATTTTGATAACCCATCTTTAGCCTCAGATATACTATGCAACCCACAAATTGTAAAAATGCCTAGGAAAAGGACATGGCGCCTGGCTTCAAGGTGTCAGGTGGTTAAAGTCAGCCATGGCACCCAAACAAGTCTGCTGAACTACCCTGTAGCAAAAAGGAAAATGTCTAGAAGAGAATCTGATCCAGCTGATCAGAAAGCAAGCATTGCGTGGCTGGAGAATGAAAAAACTCCAAACATGAAAACTAGACTATGTGCCCTTAAACTTCCAGAGTCCTATAGCAAGATCATGAGTCCTATACAGCCCAAGACAGTGGTGTATGTGCTCTCATGCCCAGAGGTAAAACAGTGCAAAGGTAAACCTATAGATATTCCCAAAATGAGGAAAAATCATCACTCCACAGATAGCAAGGACTCTGTAAAGTATAAATACAAACAGTGTTCTCTCAAATATTATGACCCACTGACAAATCGAATTCTGAAAACTCCTCCAAAGAGTACAGTTGGAGAGAAGGCCAAAAAGCCCTCTCATGTCCGACAGCTTTTCAGAAGTCTCAGCTTTGATGCAAACATGAAGAAACTAGCTGATACACAGAGAGAAAGCACACCATCAAAGTCACTCAATTGGTCAGACTTTTGCAGTTCTTCAGCATCTTTCATGCCAGATCGAGATAAAGGGAATGATGCAGCCTCAAGTCAAAAGGCAGATGGACCTTCTGTTTCCACAGAAAGAACAGATTGTCTTGCGTCTGAGAACTCTTTTAAACACCTAATCATTTCACCTTTGAATTCTGTGATAGAAGGTGATTATAGATTAATTCCATTTAATAGAATTACCAAAACTCCTCTGACCTCCATCAGGAGCGAGTGGTTAGAGAGGGAGACTCCAAAAGCACTATGGAAGAGAAAAGAAGGCACTAATAAAGAACCAGTTTTTTCCAGAAAGGCTGCAGGATCTAAGTCTGTCAAATGTACTATTGGGAGGAGAGGAAACAGAGTAACCACAAGCAAACAAACGTCCCGAGCTGAAAAACAGCGGAAAGAGGGGTTGAGAAGACAACTTCAGCCTTGTGCCCATAAATCTGCTTTCTCCATCCATAGGTGCCAGACAAGGAAAACTACAGTGGGAAAGCACCCTAAGAAAGAAAAGCCTGATGCTAAAAAATTAAAGGTGAGGAGGAAACCAAAAAGGGCTTTTCTGAACTCAACAGTTGTAACAGGAATTCCTGAAAAAAGGCGGAAAGTCACATCAGAATCTTTTCCCAAGAAACCAGAGCAAGCTTCCTCCAAAGTCAGGAACTGGGAAGTAAGTGGAGATCGGGGTCATCCTGGCACTGTGAACCGGCCCTCTAGAAGGACTTCTGCTGTACCATTACTTCAAAACTGTCTTGTTCTACCAGGTGAGAGCTAGCTACCAAAAGAACTTTTTTTTTTCTTTTTTTTTTTATAGCCAGCACCTGGAAAAAGGAAGGGGAAAAGAAGGAGGTCATAGACAACGCGGTTGAAGTGCTAGAGCTCCGGGAAGTGCTAGAGCTCCAGAAAGTGCAAAGCCAGTCTAATGTGAAACAAATACAACTGTAAATTCAGCTCTTGTTCCTGGAATATGGGGACACAATATATTGCACTGTTCTACTGTGTAAAGCTGCAGAAATTGTGGATTTGATTTAAAAGCACTTAGAATCATATTGACTAGTCTTCACCTGTACCAGCAAAATTACCTTGAATGGTATCATATTGTTATTATGGTATTATCCATGCATAACAGTGCACTATAATAGGGTAATTTACAAGCTATGTTAATTAATTGTGCCTATTTTAATTTTTTCACATAATTCTAAAGTGCAGGAGATGACTCAATTGCTATGCTAGAAATTTAATGAAGATACATCAATCGGGGCTGAAATTTATGTATGTATTTTGTTTTTGTGTATATGTGCACCTTCTTCAACACATAATATATACTTGCCTGTGGAATGGCATTAAAAATAATACAGTATGATACAATTCAGATCAATTCAGTGCTTTCTTGAAATGAAATATAATTTTACACGTTTTTCTATTGACTTCTTTGTTCCTGAAACCATGTCCAAAGCATTTTTTTTGGACTAAAAGTCACTGTGGGCTCTCATCAAGCAATAATGGACCATGCTGGTAAGGAAATAATGTCTCCATAGGGGACTGTTCAAATGGTGGTGGCTGAAGTGAAATCTCAAATTCTAAAATAAAGGGTTAGGTTTGGTTTTTTTTGTTTTTTTTTTTTTTTAATAACTTATTAAGTTTGTAGGTGAATTTCACATCCTTAGTGAGGGGGATGGAAAAGTTTTAATGCAAAGAAATAGCAGTAAGTTGTTTCAGAATGTCAGCCTTGAGTTTGGGGTTCTGTGCTTTTCTGTGTTGGTTAAATTTTTATAGACTAGAATAGAAACTTTATTTCTGAATTTTCAGTAAAATACTTAAATAAACCTAACACAACATCCATCTAAATGTATTAGAGTTCAAATGTTTGGTTAAAAAACCTGGTTGAATTAAAATTATATTCCATAGAGATTCATGTTTGGCCATTGATGTTCCATCTGCTATAGTTTTATGGCAAAAAAAACCAAACCCAGGGTGTTTTAGCTTAATTTTCTTTTTCTTTTAGTAGTTGTTATGATGACAGTTTATTTAATGTGATTAGGAGACATAAAGCCAGTCTTACAGATGTTTCTGTGCTTTAAAACCCAAGATTAATGGTTCATTCACAGTAAATTAAACACGTAGTTAAACATCATCATAATCCAGGCTTTGGTTTTCAGATCTTCAATTTGATATATTATATAATCTATTTTACCTTGAAGGTCTTCATAAATTTTCTAATGGTACAATACATTTTTCAGGACACAATTAAAATATGGAAAAGACCAGACCCTGCTGTCTCTGGCATTGAACATATCTGCACATTTTCCCCTCAGAAAACAAAATCCTTCTTGATTCTTCATTCACTTCTTTCTGAAATGTCAAGGGTCGCAGATTTGGACTGAGATAAAGGTAGACTTAGAAATGGTTTATTTTAATATACAGTATCTGAAGGAAATATAAAAGCTGTCATCATAAACCACATGTTCAGAGAATATTTTGGAGATTTTTTTCATGTATATGCATATTTCCCTAGATAAATAAAAGATGTGCATGTGTCAGCTGGAAAGCAAGTTCCTTTATGAGTCAAATGTGGTCTGACAGATTTTTTTTTATTTGTTTTAATTTATTTTTTTTATATAAAGGTTGATTTCTATGGATGAATTTTCCTATTGTTGTCAGTAGACAGAATTGTATGACTGTATTGCAAGTCACTGGAAAATGAAGGGCTATATTATAAAGTCTTATAGCCCTCAACTAATTGTGCCTGTATAATTTAATATTTTGTCTAATATAAAACTGATGTTTTTAAAGCAAAGTTTTAAAGGAATGGTTTTTATAGAAAGGCTAATTTTTAGATAAAGCAAAAGAAGACTTTTAAATAAAGTTTGTTTTAAAGCAAAGCTTTAACTATAGATAAGTCCCATTCTAACATATTTTTATGATACAAGAATGTTTTCCTATCTAACTTCTTCCATCTTATTTTTCACAGTATTTCACATGTGAAGAGCATGAATTTGTTTGTGTGTGAATAAGTTTTAATGCACATTGTACTTTAAGAACACTAGTGTATATTTGTTTAGAGTCGAAATACTGTTCTCCATACTCATTCATTGTACATTTGTCTTACTCCAGTGCACAACTTTTCCTTGAAATCTTGAGTAATAAAAATGTGTTGAGGACTATAAAATGACTAATATTTTTAGACTGTAATGTCTTTTTTTGTTGTTTTTGATAATACACCCTCTTATCAGGGTGGGGTTTTTAGAAGAAAAATGTTATATTTAAATAAAAGTGTAAGTAGCTATATATTTTCCTTTAAAAAAAAAAAGAAAAAAAAAAAGTATGAAGTGTAAGAATTTATTAGAAGAATAAGACTTGAGGTACAAATCTGGAGACATTTCTGTGGTTAACCTTGTCAAAATAAGGTTTACTGTAGGCTTTGATGTTAATCTATGCCTTGCTTCTGAGTATTTAGAAACCTCTTCTGTGCATGCTCACTGACCACTAGGAAAAAGAGGAAAAGACTGTGATACGAGAAGTAAATGCAGAAACTGCTTTGGAAGGAGAATTATGAACATATTTGCAAACCAAAATATTGCAAAAATACTCAATATCATGTGCAAGAAGAAGAAAATTCTGGGGGTCTCATGAAATAGGGAAGCACTTCCTGTTAGATAAGTAATACACTTTCTGCCCTTATGGAATAGAACATTGTTTCATTAGCAGCGTGGCCAATACGTTAAAGCATGATTGTGAAGTCTACACAAATAGCAAACTTGAAAACTGAAATACTTTCTCTCTGAAATTGGTGGGCAGGTTCGTTGTTTTCTGGGTGATGTTTCTTGTTTCTGTTTTTGTTTTTTTTCTTTTTTCCTTTTGTGGGTTTTTTTTGGGGAGGGAGCGGGGACTGGGTTCTTTTAATGTTAGTGGACCAAAATGTTTTGTCAGTATGTTTGCATATCTTAATAGACAGAAGCAAGAAAAGAGCTGGAGTAGAGAGGAATAAAGTCATGCTTTTTGAATTAGATTGGCAGCAGTTAGAACCAGTACCTTCTTCAATAGTTGAGAAAAATGTTACCATGTCATCTTCAATACACATGCAATTTTAAGTTTAAGACCTGTAAGTTTATTTTTATTATACATTTCATAATTTTTAAAAAGCCTCTCCACATATAAAGTACTCATTCAACCTTTCAAAACAATCTTATTCTAGGCAGATAGATTTTTATTATTCACTAGTATTGTGAATCATGAGTGTGACCCAGTCATATTGTGCCAGGTGCTAACCAAACATAAAATAGCAATCCCTCAAAACTTTAGATATCTGACTCTTGCACCTCACAGTTCTTCAGTTAATTTTCTGATAGGATTTTTTTGCTCTCTTGTTCTTTCTGATGGGTTTGTTCTTATAATTGTGTTATGAAAGTACCCTTCTCTGGAACTCAGATAAATGAGATATTTCTGTTTATTATGAGCCTATGCCTTCATCTGAAGTTGTTTAAGTTTCATGCTAAATTTCTGCCCAAATGAGAATTTGTTTTGTGGTTTTCATATTCTTGTTATTGATAATGTATTTTGCATAATTTTGCTTGATGTTGTAATTTTTTTATCTGCTTCTCTATCTCTTCTGCCTGTGGTCATTTGACATGATGTGGTTTTGTAAGGACACAGCGCTACTACAGACTCATCCAGTGCTGTTGCTGGATATTCTTTCTCTGTTGTATCTTTTGCTCATTTTATTTCAGATTTATTGTTTTCATTGTTTTTCTCAGTCCTGTTTTTGGATTTCTTTTTTTATATTGTAAAGAGCTAAATTTCAGGGCAGTATGTTCTGTTTGGAAGTAAATCAGTGACAGGTCGGAAGAGGACATTGTCCCAGTCTGAAGTGCTGAGAGCAGGTTGCCACAGGTGCTCCTGTGCTTGGGAGTCTGCTTTACTTCACTGAATAGTGTGAAACAGGAGTGGAAAGATAATTCTTGATTCCTTTGCCAGTCTTCCTTTCTTCTTCCCTTAGGGTCATTCTGCCTGAGAACAATCTGAACTCATACTGGAAATAGATGTTTTTCAGCTTTTGGTGTTTTGGGGAAAGATAGGAAAAGTAAAATATATCTCTCTCACTAACGTAACTAAAATCACTGAATTTTTGCCTTTAATGTTGATGAATTAGAGCATTCCTGATAATATTTTTTAGAAAAATTTGTAATAGCATAGTTCTGAGCATGCCCAGAAGCAAAGGTTTTGTTCCTTGTTTATTTTGCAGTAATAAATTCATTCATTCCTTCAGCAGAACAAATCTTGTTTTAATAAAATAAAAACTGAATATGTGCTTTTGGAGTTTCTTTATTCTGGAAGCTTTATTACCTTGAAGCTGTTTGCTATAATTTGTTGTGGAAAGAACACCACAGAATGCTATGGAATAAGCAGAATGAAGGCAGACAGCCATAATTTAAACAACTGTTCACAATGGTGTGATATCTTGACTCAGAGATGCCAAGATTTATCCTATTCTGTGCCAGCTGAAGCAGTGACACCCTAGGATGGCATTGAAAAGATGATAGATACATTTAAAATGTCTAACTTCATTTTGGCAGCATGAAACCAAGAAGCCCGAGCCACATGACAAGCCAGATCCTTGCAGAGCTTACTCATTAAGAGGTTTTTTGAGCATGTGCACTTACTATATGAGGGCAGGGGCTGAAGTATTATAGTCTTAAGCAGCTTTCTACTTTATGCAAAACTTTGGCATCTGTAATCATAGACCGAATTAATGCAGGCAGAACTCTCTTAAAAGCTGTGTGCAACAATACTTTAGAGTATGGTAAACAGATTACTGGAATTACTTGGGCGGTATAATACCTTGTTCTATAAATTTGGTAGTCATTTGCTGCTTGTAGCAGTGCCTGTTTAAACCAGTGTGATCTTTTGCAGGAGCAGCGCAAGCAGATGTGTCAGATCAGTAAATGGCTGAGAGGCAGTGGCATGTGCTTTCCTGAGGCTTTAGTAAGTCATAAAATTTCAGGACACGCTTCGCAGTTTTCAGTCCGAACTTGAAAATAGCCATGAATTATATAGTTGGCCAAATGAAGTTAACACTGTGCTATCAAATAATGATTAACTAAAGATATAATTGTTCAGCCATCTAAACATGGAGTTAGAAACATAACCAAAGTTTAAGTCAGGTGATTGGTCTTTCATGGGAAATAAAAGCAATTAACAATACGGTTATAGAGTGTATAAGGGAGATCTAGTTCAAAGTGGTGTCTTTGGGAGTTATGATGGAATTAATAGCATAGTTTTAGTTGGCTTGGGATACACTGGAGTAATTAGTGTTATAATTATTGTGTTTTGATGATTCTGGAAGTCATAATTATTTTCTTAGAGTGCAGAAGCATTTCTTATGAAACGTACGAACACATCATTATTGCAGTTTGTGATTTAACAGTTTCAGCATTTCTAAACTTAGATTCTTTTTTATCAGTGTTCTACTCTTAAGGAAAACTGAAAAACAGCTTTTCCCAAATATGGGGATCCATAAACAGGCTTTTCAGTATCACACATCCTCAAATATAATTGCACTTTAATGTTTTAAGTCTGGTCAGCTTTTTGTATTTGCTGTGTCACACTGCATTAATGTTGGTACTGGTGCATCTGAAAATGTTGATTATAGCTTACTGAGTTATGATTGATATTGTGCAAAAAAGTTGCAGAATCAAAATACACCCTTGCTAGCCCATGCAGAGAGCTTAAATACGGTGCTGGCCTGGAGATTGTGCTGTAAGAATGAACAGAGAAGCTGAAGGCAGAGTCCTTGGCATGTGTTCCATCCCGTGTGGTTGCAATGACTTTTTTTCTTATTACACTGAAATTTTAAGATGAAGAAGGATGTAGAATGATGCATAAGCCTTAAATACGTATTTTAGATTGGAACTAGATCAATGAATATTCAGCTTTGGGGGTTTTGTTTGGTTTTGGTTTTTTAATGTTTATCTGAACCTTGGGAACCAGTTGTCAAAATCCATCTACTCCTGTAGTGGTGCAGCTCAGCAATCTTCTGGTATGTTACTTTTATTTGCTTAATGCATGGCTAATATTTTAGTGCTGCTTGTTTTATACTTTCAGCCACCGGTAAGGGGGGAGAAATATTTACTACAAGGACTGTGCATGTGCATCCCTTTGAAGGCTAAAGAGAATAGTTGAAAGTCAGTACATGGCTACCAACAGATTTCTCCACATGCCAAAAGGAGCTCTGTTAAAATTCAGGTCTAATGATGAGCAATAAATCAGTTGCCCAAATGACGATACAAACACTTTTCATTTTATTGGCATTAGATGCAATCTGCATGTAATTAAAAATAAACATACTGACTTTTTGGTGACAGTTATTTTATGGATTTCTAAATGTGTCTAGTGCTTTAATTTTTTGATCTGTTCTAGCAAATTGTCATTTCCTGAGTTATTGCCAACACACTCTAGTTCTGATTGAATTTGGAGTCAGGGTAATAATGGAATCAAAGTCAGCATGTTTTTACCTACCACAATTAGTTACTGTTCATACAGCACTTTCTGTGGATGTAAAGAACTCTTAAGTGTTTAATATTATCAAGAATTATCTTTGTATTATTCTTATTTTGGACATTAGTGTTAAATGTATTTTTAAAAATGCATGGATACATTTATATTATTGTGAATATAAATGTGTATTTGTCATTGCCAAGCACAATATTTTTTTAGAGCTCAAAGGAGAGCACTAATGAAATAGTATTTTATGTATTTTTATTTCCAATTATACAGAGACTATTCACTTTTTCTGTGCTTAGCAAATTTCTATTTTTCCTCCCTCACACTCCACCATTTTAAAATAAGAATTCATCTGCAATGCAGGGTTCTCCATCTTTATTTTCTCAGAGTAGGGTGTGATGAGTGTCATTCAGATGTATCACAAAGATGGTTTTATGTAATTATGTAGTTATTGCATATGCCTTTATAATTACCTCTGCCTTTTCGTGGAGTAAGGGGGAGCCAAGCATCCCTGTCTGGTTCTCATCCTTTTGTCTAATTTTATTGCCCACCCCATCCTTCTCGAGCTCCCTATGCAGCCAGTGGGTCAGGTCCCCTCTTTTCCTTTATTTATTGAGCTCTACGGTATGTTGGAAAACAACCATTTTTAATTCACAGGAAAAAATAAGTTGAAACCATTTTCAACCATTTTTTTTTTCCTATAAGAGACTCACATCTAGTGCATGTGTGGAGAAACAACAAAAATCTGACTTATATTTTGGCAGGCCTTGTGTTCCCACCATCTCCCCTAAGCTCACAGAAGTGCAGTAA